AGAAAGAACAATGAAGTTTGAGACGACTGATTGATATTTTGTAAGTGAAAGATTTATTGTTTGGTTCTCAAATTTTACTAAGATGTTCTGTAAATTTATATTCAGATGCATTCGGTTGTCCCCACTTGTATTCTTGGCCACAAATCTCTGTGTCCCAGCCAACCAGGAGCTGGAAAGTGTGCTGTTCTGCGGACGCCGTTACAGACTTAGCTCTGAGATGTTAAGGAGATCTGGTGCAGGAGCTGATTTCGAGTGAAGTGTTCTGGAGGGTTGAAACGAGTACTGCCGACGGAGAGGGACAGTGAGACGTGCGATCAATGAAGATCGGTATGCCACAGACTTGACATTTTGACGGAGAGTGTGGCACAGACTATGGAAAGGAAGAAAGTCGCACAACGAGCAGAACCATCACAAGAACAACTGCTTTAAAGGGAGGTGGAACGAGTGTGGTGTGTGCTACTGATGTCGATAGATATAAGTAGTATTTATCATCAATCGAAAGGTTAAGAAAATCAAAGAAAACGAAAGAACAATGAAGTCTGAGACGATCTATTGATTGTTTGCAAATGGTTCTCAGAGATTACATTTAGTTGTTCTCATTCACATTCTCGTTCATTACAGTAGTATGGGACTCCTTAGTAGTAGTGCACACCTATAATCCCTTACGCAGGACTCGAACCCAGAACTTTCGTTTTTCAATATCTACGTATGATAAACTGGTTATACCAACGAGACAATAATATTTAAAGCATAACTGTTATCTATATGCAACTTATCTATTCATCATACTACTACTAATAATAATAGTAGTCATCATCATAATCTGTTTACATTCTGCATATTTCAATCCATTTCATCCACTCTTCTATCATTTCTATCAATCCAATAAATATCTCATCTATTCTATTCTATTCGGTTATTGTAATGAAGATAATAAATAGAGAGAGAAAAGCAAAGTGGGAAATCAACATTCGAATATAAAGAGTATAGACAACCCCTTTTTTATTTATCACATCAAAATAAACCATCCATTGGACATTTACATTGACATTGAAATACAATTTGTTTATCTTTATATTATTTTAACTACTCCATGGAATAGAAGGGGATACTCACTCAAATGTGTGTGTGTGTGTGAGTGTGTGTGGGTGGTTGGATGGGTGAGTGCATACTCATTTAGTTATATAAGTAGTATATTCATCTATAAAGATATTCATATATGTAATATATCTGTTACTATTATTATTATCGTTGTTGTTAGACAGAATAAATTTCTAAAAATAGTATACAAAAGAAGAAACAATAAGAAGAGATAGTTTGAATGAAGCTTTTAACTTAATGAATAGAGATATCCAAACGGTGGCAACAACAACGAGAAAAATTAGGGTGGAAACACGTAAAAGAGAAAGTACGTTAAATTTCAAATATTGACGAATATAAATAAAAATGATTAGTGGTTAACAGTGGAATGTAGAAAGTGGATTTTGTCCTTATTTTGAGACTCATCAGCTAGATGTATCTACATCCCAAATGTTTATATTCATTCTGGGATTCGAACTACCATCCATCTTTGTTTAGAATGCTTGTAATTTAAGGCAATGTTGAGACAATCTACACACGATGCATATATGCTAATAAGAGATCTAACAATTACAGTCCTAAACATTAATGGGAAGATTCAAACAACCAATACAATAGTTTATAAGTGACCAAGTAAATAAGAGCATTTTTGTGAACTATTCTAGATCTAGATCATTCAACTAGATGAAGATTGTTCAACGAAGAAAATCAAAGTCAACAGATATAAATGTTCGGTTTTCTGTGGTGGAATTTCATATAACTCACTTTTAGCTAAAGTTTACATTGATGACATTGTTTAGGAAGGACTATGAAAGGTTTACTATCAAGCTAACTAGTACAAAGAACAAAATTCTTTCAAAACTATACAATCATCTTAATAATTAATTGTTAACATATGTATGGATTAGTTGGATTAGTTGAAGATAAACATTAACACCTTTGGATTCCGGACAGCTCAGTGGTCTAGTGGTTAAGCGCTCACGCGCGGGACCGATAAACCATGGGTTCGAATCTCGCGAGAAAGGACCGTGAATGTGCACTACTGAGGAGTCCGACAATAGGACGGAAAGGCCGTCCAGCACTTCTAGATATTCCGTGGTGGTCTAGCTTCAAATGACCCATGATCTCAACTAATAAAATTACTATAATATACACAAAACGCTTTCTGCTATGTAGGGTAGTCTACAGTGTAATATAGAGGTTGCGCAATGTCATCAACTAATTGAAGATAGACGTGTACGCGATTCCATGCTGGCTATTCATTTGAGTACTAAGTTTGTCAAATCATGTGAAATATAAGCTGAACAACAATTTGAAAAGCAGTGAGAAGTAATAAGGTGAAAAGAATTTAAAGAAAGTGAAGACGGATATTACCAGACGAATCACACATGATGGAGAAACTCTGGAACAAGTGGAATCTTACACGTACCTCAGAAGCATATTCGACGAACAAGGAGGATCCAATGCAGACGTAAAGGTGAGGATTGGCAAAGCAACACCAACATTCCTACAACTCAAAAACATATGCAACTCAAAACAACTATCTGTCAATCAATATCAAAATCAACATCTTCAATACGAATGTCATGACAGTTCTGTTGTATAAAACTCAATATCCGAGAACTACCACAACCATCGTCAACAATGTACAGGTATTTATAAACAATTGTCTACACAAGATACTCAACATTCATTGGCTGGATATCATTAGCAACCTCCAAATGAAGAGGAAATTAGGATGGACGTTTTCGGTAGTGTGCCGGACACACATTATGGAAATCATCAAACTGCATCTCGAAGCAAGCACTAACTTGGAATCTTGAAATGAAATGAAAAGAGAAAAACCAAAGAACACATTGAGTCGAGAATCGGAAAAATTGTCGAGCACAATGTTGGATGGAGACTGCTGGTGGGTGGCCTATATTCCTCGATGAGGGGTGACAGACGTAAGTAAGTAAAAGTCCGGATAAATTTCCCAGTCGGAAGTATTATGATTATAGTTTGGGCCATTCATATGCCTGTGAATGCATGCTAGGTCAAAGGATAAACGACAGATCTTAATAAATGGGTGCTATTGATTGTGATTTGATTCAACTACCTGAATGATTTTGTGTACAAAATTGATCAAGTTTAGCCGATACAGCTTTCTAGTTTTTCCTTGTCTTTTCATTCAAGTATCACATTGGTCTCAAGAATAGAAACAAACATAGTGATGTCAGAATTGAACGATCATTTAACATAACAACTATCAACTTGTTACCTTAGTTACATGCATTTTTATACAACTTCATTTCCTACATTTGGGACACAGTTGTTACGTCATGATTTTCCCTAACTGAATATCAGCTGCATATATCTGTGTTTTAAATATCAACTGGTCACTTTTCGCTACACTAGAATATCTCCAAACAGGCTTAACAACTGCTGTCATTTACTCTTATTTAGGATTTATCAGTAGTATCCATTTACAAGCTAGAATCAAAAGTTGTCAGCCGTTAGGTTTTAACCTACTGAGCAATCTTAAGATATAGTGTACACAGTGAGATATATGAAGATATATATATCTGACTATTAAGGAATTTATGCAAGTGAATCGGTTAAGAATTTTTTCAAAAACTGAAACAAAACAAACTTCTTTAACCCTCATTGTCATCCTACTCTACAAGCATGACTTTTGAAGCCAACGATACTGGGTTCGAGTCCTGGAGTGAGCATCATCTGTGAGATACAGATGCGTCCAGTTGATGAGTTCAAAAAACAGAACAAAATGCGGGTTCCGCACTCCACTAGTTGCCACTTATACATTTTTTGTGTATAATACTTGTGACTGAAGGCAACATCGAGGCAATTTGTACAGGATACACATATGCCAACAAGAGACTGATCAATTGCAGACTTAAGCAACAATTGGAAGATTCAAGTAAACAATACTAAATGAATTTAAACTTCACCCGATTGCACAATCAAGTGATTATCAAAACTCAATGACTAAGTGGATAACATGATGGATTTAAGTCCTAGAATGAACATCAACTCTATCGATTCAATTACACCCAGTTGATGAGTCTCAAAACTAGGACGAAACACACATCCTATATTCCATTACTACCCACTAGTCATCTTTCCTTCTATTCATTGTTGTCGTCTTAATTCACCTTTAATTTATGCATTTTCTATTGCTGAAATGTTAAATAATTGTTTCCTGGTTGTTTTCTTTTTGTTGGTAGAAAAAAACAACTAAATGACTTCAATATGAAGAAAGGAAGTTTGTTTACTAAACGTTTCATCAATATTTTGGTTGTTTATTTGTTACCATGTGACTATAAACAAAGATATTGATTGATTATCGAATCAATATTTCGATTAGATATTGATAAATAGTTCATGAGAAAGAAATATGGAGTTAGAATCATCATCATCATTATTATTGATTTATCAGTATGCACTTGTGAAGTTTGTTGAATTTCTGATTAAGATTATGAACCAATGAATGTTTTAACCATCATTGAATACGTGGAATCACTGGATAACCGTCTTGTTTTAGTATGAGACTTTACAGTATTGTACATCAACGATTTGGCACGAAAGGGAATCGAACTCAGGACCTTTGGTGTTGAGTGCGAACGCTTAAACTTTAAATCATTAAACCGACATCCAACAATGTTAATATCTAACTTCAACCATTCTATGATATTTTACAACCATCTTCCATTGTTTTCAATGGGTAACTGTTTCATACCCGACACAGATTAGCACCATTGGTCACGGCTTCGTTAGTTTCCTGTGTGGTGATTATGTTAATTTGACATCACCAATGTTCTTTGAAGGTGTGAATTGAAGTTTCTTCATGTCTCTTGTTTTTTCTCTTTTCAAATTTATTTCACTGAATTATACTCCTTGAATAACACCTTCAAACCATAATGTTTCCGATTACTGCTTATACATTTACTACTACTACTACTACTACTACTACTACTACTACTACTACTACTACTACTACTACTACTACTACTACTACTACTACTACTACTACTACCACTACTACTACTACTATTACTACTACTACTACTACTACTACTACTACTACTACTACTACTACTACTACTACTACTACTATGGGATTTTCAGTCGACAATTGTATTTCTGTACTAATGTGATATAACAACTCAAACCGATGTACGTACGCATGATGTTCTACATTGTTGCTGACTGACTAATATGAAATAACCATGAAAGTGAAACTTCTTTTCATACTTCTTAACTTTTATTTCCCTTTTCATAATCAACTGTAGAAGATTTATACGTGGAAGGATGTGGAGAGAGGACTGTTAAGCTGTTAAAAGTCAGTACAAAATCTTTTTATTTTTTATTTTAACACACAGATATTGGGACAAGGAGGCACCAAGTACATATGCGCCACACAAGTCTCATTTGGTATGTGTGAGGGCTGTGATTCTGCCCGAGTGCCCAAACCAAAGCAGGTGGTTTTCTTAGGGGACCACACCCAGAGCCTTCGACCTGAAGGTCTGATCCACAAGGCAGTGGAGCAACAAAGGAGATGCACTCACATGGTAGCCAGTGACCAACGATTGGTTCATACGCTATTCCTTTTCTTAAGATCTTGGAGCCAATGTGCACAATTGGTTTGGAATGAGGGTTTTCCAATTCTCCTTGGTGAACTCTCCGTGTCTACCAACCCGGTTTAAGCCCCTGCCGGACATTCGTTTTTCATCCTCTCAAGTTCGTAAACAACACCCCCGCCACGAGAAGGCAATGAGTAGGACTTCCCTGGCAGAGGCTATATACGCGTGGCTATGTTAGAGCATTTCTAGAGGGAGAGCGGACTCTCCTCACTCTCGGCCGTTTCAAGGCATTTGGGGGCAAAACCTGAAAACACTGGACGGCCGATTCGTCCAAGTATGGGACTCCCCAGCAGTGCGCATCCATGATCCCGTACCCCGCGAGATTCGAACTCCGGATCTATCAGTCTTGCGCCAAGCGCTTAACTAACTAGACCACTGAACCCAGTACAAAGTGTTTACTTACTTACTTACTTTACTTACTCCTGTTACTACCAATGGAGCATAGGCCGCTGACCAGCATTCTCCAACCCACTCTGTCCTGGGCCTTCTTTTCTTGTTCCATCCAATTCTTGTTCATTCTTCTCATGTCTATTTCCATTTCTCGGCGTAATGTGTTCTTTGGTCTTCCTCGTTTCCTTTGGCCTTAAGGGTTCCATGTGGGAGCTTGTGTTGTGACGCAGTTGGGTACTTTCCTCAATACGTGTCTTATCCATTTCAAGCGCTTCTTCCTAATTTCTTCCTCCATTGAAATCTGGTTTGTTGTCTCCCACAGTTTGTTGTTGCTAATAGTGTCCATCCAACGGATCTGAAATATTTTGCGTAGACAATTGTTAATAAACACTTGTACCTTCTGAATGATGACTTTCCTAGTTCTCCAGATTTCCGCCCCATACAATAGAACTGCCTTGCCATTTGTATTGAAAATCCTGACCTTGTTGTTGGTTAACAGACAGTTGTTTTGAGTTCCAGATGTCGTTCACTTGTAAATATGCTGCTCTTGTTTTGCCGATCCGCGCCTTCACATCTGCATCAGATCCATCCTGTTCATGTTTAGGTATAATATATAATAGGATTATTATAGAAAATGATAAAGTTCTCATGAGAATAAAAAATTTTTTAAAGAAAAATCAGAACGATGATAATTTTTCGGATTATTGATTTATTTTTTTTTGTTGTTTTCCAAATATTTGCCTGTTACGATGAATAATAGATTTCGCCTTGAGCTTCGTTGGCCTCCCCTCCTCTCCCCCTCCCAACACACACACACACACGCACAAATAGTATTCTAACTCATTTTTTTATTTTGTTTACATTTCTTAACTAGTAACACTAATTTGTTTTTCAGTTTTCCTATTTGTTTTCGTTTATCAAACGGTAAACAAATTTACGTTCTTGAGAGGAAGAAAAAAGTCATTAGTAAATAATAAATATATATAGATAGATTGTGAATAGTACCGAGATCTAGGACAAGTGTTTCATCCTATGTGGGACTCATCAGCCGGATGTTTTCTGTATCTTATAGTTAATGTTTAGTGTGAGGCTCGAACTCAGTACCGTTCGCTTCAAACACCATCACGCTATCCACTTAGGTACTGAGTCTTGATAGTCACTTGCTTGTGCGATGAGTATGGGTATGAGTTTTATTTGTAAGTGTTTGTTATTATGAATTGAAATTGATCAATCTTTGTTAGCATATATTAGTCTTTGGCGGATTGCTTCAACATCACTGTTCAAGCAAAAGTTTCAAGTGAATTTAAACAGGAGCCAGATAAAGCAATTTAGGAAAGTCGTTTCGTATTATTTGAGACTCGTCAGTTAAATGTACTTGCATCCAAGAGCTGATGCAAACATTCATAGCTTAGTGGTTTAAACTGTCATAATTCAAACATTTTCTCATAGTTATGTACATAAATCACAATATGCATTGAAGGGGTTCTTTCAAAAAAAGATCTGCCTTGATACTTAGTATTAAAGATCCTGAAATACGACACGTAGAACACAAACCCAATCACACTTGATGGAGGAACGCTGGAACAAGTGGAATGTTACACGTACCTGGAAAGCAACTTCGATGAACAAGGAGGATCAGATTCAGACGTAAAGATGAGGATTGGAAAAGCAACACCAACATTCCTACAACTCAAAAACATGTGCAACTCAAAACAATTATCTGTCAATCAATATCAAAATCGACATTTTCAATACGAATGTCATGACAGTTCTGTTGTATAAAACTCAATATCCGAGAACTACCACAACTATCATCAACAATGTACAGGTATTTATAAACAATTGTCTACACAAGATAATCAACATTCATTGACCGGGTAACATCAGCAACCTCCAAATGAAGAGGAAATTAGGATGGACGTTTTAGGTGGTGTGTTGGACATAGATTACGGAAATCATCAAACTGCATCTCGAAGCAAGCACTAACTTGGAATCCGGAAGGGAAATGTATAAGGAGAATATCAGAGAACTCACTGCGTCGGGAATGGGAAGCAGATATAAAAAGAATGAATAGCAACTGAAAATAAGTGGAAGGGATTGCCCGGCATATAGTTGGATGGAGAAAGTTGATGTTGGGCCTATACTCCTCGAGGAGGAGTAACTGGCGTAAGTAAGTAAGTAAGTAAGTTGTTGAATAACAGGAAATCCCACTTTTGTGTATAACAGGGGCTGAAGATTTTGTTTCAGAATCCCAATGAAAGCTCAGTAATGAAACTATCTACGTCAGAGAACAAAACGTTATCAATGCCAATAAAACCTGAATATCATGTTCGAATCCCGTTGTTTGTTGGTAAATAAATTACACAAATGTAACTGTTGATATTGTTATAACTTGTGGACTTATGCCCCCTATGATGTAATGATATCACCAATTAAAGTAAATGGGATTTATTGACCGAACCAATGATGTATAAAATCCGTATGAGAAGTCTAGAGTCTTTATCGATCCTGCTTCCTGACTAGCCCTGCTTACCTGTTCAAATCCAGAACACCAATCTCAGCCTCTGTAGTATGAATCATGTATTTCAATCATACCAATCAGACAGACCACATTACACCATAAAATAGGAAACGACATTTATACAAGATTTGGTCAAATGTGCCTGTGAATGTCAGAGATAGGGATTGATAGACTGGGCATAACTCAAGAACGGTTAATCGTATAATAATCGTCTATGGGTCAAAATAAGGCTTATGATAAGAGGAACCTTGTATATGAATAGTTTAATTACATAACAATCATACCATAAGAATACATATATCGTATTAGTTCATAAACAGATCCAAACAGTTACCATTCATTATTCTCATTGGAACATATCAATGTTTCGTCTTTAACTATTATTCAATCTTCCTACTTGTTATGATTCATTTAATGGATATTTCATGTCGTTAATTCTGTTTTATTGAGTTATTGATCAGTAACCCTCCTAGAGTTTGGCACAGTGACAGCGACTAACATCCCGTAGAAAACAATCTTGTTGAAAAAAGCAAAACAATTCGAACCTTTGAAATGATTTGTTAATAACCAATTTGATGTTATTCTGTCCTTATACACTGACCTAATTCTGTCAATCTATTTCTAATGAGATAACAAATACAAGTGCTTTAATATGACAGCTCAATTTTGTTTCAATCAAATCTCTATGTAACTATAGAATAAGCTTATATTACTCAGTATGTAATATGATAGATATACTATGGTGTGAGCTACTTATATCCAAATAAGTAGTATATAACGATGACTTGGAATAGAATGCATTTTAGTAGAAGATCGAGAAGGAAAGAACAAGAACAGAAAGCAATTAGTATGACAATGTATGAAACAATGAAGTTTGAGACGATGGACTAACATTTAGCAAATAAAGGTATTTACTATATGATTCTCAGATTTTACTAAGATGTTCTGTAATTTTATGCTCAAATACATTCGATTGTTCCCCATTTGTATGTTTTCGTTCACTACAATACAAATACTAATGAACTGTTCTAGGTGAAGTTCTCTTCTCTGAGTTGGATGGGTTGGTCGTAGAGCTTTCATTGTATGTCTGAACAATATCATCAGCGTGAACTTCAGGTAGAAATGAAATGTTCAAATTTCTTCACATATGACTGACAGCTTGCCCTGTAGACTTCGATCTTGATTGGCTATTGTTGAATGTTAATCTGTCATTGTTTACTTCCTTATTTTGATTATGTCTCCTATTGATTTGATTTCTGGTTCTATATTTGTTCATGATTCTTCTGAGTGATTAATAGATTAGATCGATATCAATGTGTTTGTTGATTGTTGATTGACCTGAATGAAAAGCTTCTAAAAATTCTCCGGTGCATTTAGTATTCTCTCTAAGTAAAATCTCAACAGTTTTTTCAGTCCAGTGTATGTCCATAGTTGTCTATATGCATTGATATAAGCGAGAATATGTCATAGCGTCTGATCGCTATTTCATATTTGTTCGGGTGAAGAGGGAAGGTGACATCCATTTTGTCAACCTGGGAAAAAGACTACAATAACACTCAGTTAAACCGCTGAGAAATTTAACAAATCGACGAAGTTTTGATAG